TGAAGTCTTGAAACATCATACTGAAATAGATGTTTTAGGTCATCAAAAGTCACGTTCTAAAGTTACAATTTTCTTTTTTTTTCAGCGTGTATACTGCGGTCACGAGTACACCATCAATAATCTGAAGTTCACACGGCATGTTGAGCCAAATAACGAGGCCATCCAGAAAAAGTTAACATGGGCTAAGGTGTTTAAATCTTCTTTAACATGTATTCACTTTAGCTGCAAATATGATCATAGCGCAAGTGTTTGAATAACCTTGTCTTGCACTGCTTAGGAAAAATATGTTAACAGAGAGCCAACCATTCCCTCTACGGTGGAGGATGAGTTCACATTTAACCCCTTCATGAGAGTGAGGTATGTGAAATAATTCCTAACCATACATCATATGTGACCCTGGAGCACAAAACCAGTCATAAGTCGCTGGGGTATATTTGTAGCAATAGCCAAAAATACATTGTATGGGTCAAAATTACTGATTTTTCTTTTATGCCAAAAATCATTAGGATGTTAAGTAAAGAGCATGTTCCATGAACATATTTAGTCAATTTCTATCGTAAATATATAAAAACTTAATTTTTGATTAGTAATATGCATTGCTAAGAACTTTTCTCAATATTTAGACTTTTTTGCACCCTCAGATTCCAGATTTTCAAATAGTTGCATCTCGGCCAAATATTGTCCTATCATAACAACGCTTATTTATTCAGCTTCCAGATTATGTATAAATCTCAATTTTGAAGACTGGTTTTGTGGTCCAGGGTCAGATATAAACCTTCTTGCACCATCTACACAAATTAACTTAGTCAATTTGGAATATTACTATTAAAAATGTATATAATTTTAAAATGAATACTGTTTCCCCCCTCATGTCTTTGTTTTTGCACTTCAGAGAGAAGTCAGTACAAGAGCATGCTGGGACCAGTGACCCGATTGAAGCCATGAGAAGAATCCGTAAGGAGAAGGATGGCTTTAGAGTCCCAAAGAATTGAGCTTTCAGGCTCGTTTTTGCGATGGTCATCACCACTACGCTTATATCTGCTCATCACTTGACTAACAATCGCAGGACATGCAGAAACTCCATTTACAGCAAAAGCACAATTATTGAGCTGGTATGTTATTTCCATGTTTTTTCTTTAAGACAGCGTATCGTCTTCGGTGAGCAATACACAGGATTGTTAACCTGTAAAACAATGTTATTTAAACCATTGCTGCAAGCAATAGATCAAACAAAAACTAACTATTTATAATGTTTTCATGAATACATTTATGCCACTGATTCGCATTGAATAAAAAAAAAATTTCAAATGTACTAGGTCTGTTTTGTAGGCACAATTTTATTTACGTAAGTTTACGTAGGTTTTATTTTTGGACATTTTCAGCTTTTGGGAAGAGCCAGGCCATGAACCAATGTTATGTGGTTAAATTATAGTTTTATGTCTTAATGTGCAATGTTTTATTTTGTAAATCAAAAAGAATTATTTTTAAGATGTTATGAACAAAGCGTATTTTTATGTCAATCAGAAAATGACATTTGATGAAACTGTGTTTATTCTGATGTCTCTGGATGATTTTGAATATAGAAATTATTGAACAATGCATACTGGTTTTTCGCCTTGTTTTATCTCATCCAGTTATTGTTTCAGCCGAACTTGCACTTTTTGTCATCAAAAATAACAGATATTATAATTATAGTGTTCAAACTGAATAAAGTCTCAATGTAAATTTACATAGCTGTTTGTTTTTTTCATAAATCCAGCTACAATCTTGATTAAAGATGTGCTGTTTTATTACCTTATTTTGTATAAAACAATATTAAGTACTAATTGTTAAACAAATTTTTCTTGTTGCAATAAAAGTTTTCCAACCTTCTTGAACCTATTGTATTACCAAACGATTTACATACAATTTTGCATAATAAAATTATAATAATTCAAATTATCAAATTAGTTTTAAATGTCACATGTAAATGAAAAAAAATGGCAATATCAAGATCATTTAATATTTAAGAGTTTTTTGTTGTTTTGGTCATTTAAAAAAAGCCCAGAATCAAAATGCCTATATTAAAGAAAAAATTAGTGCCGTCGAACGATTAATCGCAAATAAAAGTTTTTGTTTACATAATGTGTGTATGTTTATTATGCACATATAAATACACACGCATGTATATATTTAAAAAACAAGATGTTTATATTTTAAATATATTTATATATAAATATAAATATATACATGTAAATATTTTTGAAATCTACTGTATGTGTGTGTATTTATATATACATAATAAATAAACGGTACACATGTAAACAAAAACTTATTTTGGATGCGATTAATCGCAGGACAGCACTAGAAAAAAAGTAAAACACAAATCACAAATATAAACAAAGAATGAATAGAATTAAAATATATTTATAGTTCATTTTCTCAATAAATAGAATTACATTAATGGAATGATTCATATATTTATTATCATCATAAATCAAAATATATTTAAAAAAAAGAAGAAAGTATAATTTTTAGTGCATACTACATAGTAACATCTATTGCGTTTTTTTGCATTCAACACTTTCACAAAATCTGTGAAACAAACTCACAAATACATGAAAGAAAACAATAACACAAGGCAACATTCATGGACAGAAAAATTGCCTACTGCTAAAAAAAAAGACACAAAGACCGGTTTGATTTGTAGTCTGACCCCAGCCTTTTCCAGCGGATACTTTATAGAAGCAGGAAATATAACTTCATCTGTCTTATCAAACATAATCACATTTGCTAATGGCGTGTCTAGAAGTGTTTAGCTGGTGTAGTGTCAAATGCATCTTAAAGTGTAACTTGACTTTGACAAACATTTAACGGAAGGCAAAGAAACAACTTAAATGGTTCATCAGTGTCTCGTGTCTCCTCCTCACCACTTTATACTGAGTCCACTGGTGTTTTTTTCTACGGCGTGGTACTGCGTGTGCAGCAGCGGTCTGGCTTTCTCCTTTCCCACGCTCTCTAACCAGCTCTGATAGAGTTCAGCCACTCGCAAGTCCTGCTCTGGCACCGAGGTACGTTCACCGTGGTACAACTCCTCCACCTGCTGCAGCAACTCTTTGTTGGTTTGATCTGATGAAGGCTTCAGCTGACCTCCGCCATTCAGAGATCCTGTAGAACACAATCCAAAGTGTCAGTGAATCCGATCTGAAACACTATCCCATTATTGTCTGCGATTGATAGGTTATGCAAATTTCGAACAGATATCATTCTAGAGAACAGTATCAGAATATTATACAAATTCAACAATGACAAAACCGTGGCACAAAGAATTTCACTCTACGGAGCAAAGAGTACAAAATATAACATCAAAGTAACTATGAAAACATGTAATTACGTAATTTTTTTAATATATTTAGGAATATAATAAAAATATAAATCTAAAAAAGTGAAATAGTACAATTTGCTAAATGCAACGTTTTTTTCTCTCACATAGTAAAAGTTTTTCTCACACAAAGTTTACAAATGTTACAAAAAGAAGGTTTTTAAGCACTGGGGGTGTCATTTCTGACCTGACGGACATGCCATCACTTCTACAAAGTGGTACTGTGACTTTCCACGTTTCAGCTTCTGCACCAAGTTCTGAATGTTCCTGAAGCCGTAGACGGCAGCGAATCGCAGCAGAACTTGACCGTCCTTCTCTAGAGTGACTTCCTGGAAGTCTTTGTTTCTTTTGGGGGGACAAATCAAAACAATGTCACTTACAGAGACACTACCATGAGATGTGAGCAATAAACTATAATAGCACCATGGTATTTCTGGAAGTGTTATGGTGAACAAACCCTTAAAAGCAGTCTTTTTAAATAAAACGTGACCGGTGATGCATTATTCCTTACATTAACAGTACTGTGGTAGTACCATGGAGTGATAAGAGTGATTTATCAGATGTTAATATTGATGATTGTACTGTCGTATAATTTACTTTTAAGAATACCATACTATTACATGGTTCCCATCATCGCTGACCAGTTTCCAGTCATAGAAATCGTTTTAAAGTGATTTTTTACACAGAAATTCTTAGTTCAAAATTACTTACATTTAGAAATGCAGTTACACTCTAGTCATTTCTAGCCAAAGAAATACGTTAGAAGAACTTGTAGAACTATAGAAATTGTATTAGCGTGATCGAAGACTTTAAAAATTCCATGAAAAAATCATTTTCCTGGTCGGTCTCAAAAAGCACGGTAAATATTTCATAACATTTATACATTTCAGACAATCGAAACCTTAAAATGAATATTCATTATTTACAGTAAATATCAATCAATTCGTTACACTAGCATTCAAATGCTTGGGGTCGGTAAGATTTTGAAAAATATTTTTGAAAGACGTCTCACCAAGGCTGCATGTATTTGATCAAAAATACAGAAAAACAGCAATATTGTGAGATGATATTACAATTTCGAATAAGAGTCGTCTATTTTAATGTGTCAAAATGTAATTTAATCCTGTGATGCAAAGCTGAATTTTCGGCATCATTACTTCAGTCTTCAGTGTCACACGATCCTTCAGAAATCATGCTAATATAGTAAAAATAAAACATTCATTATTATCAATGCTGAAAACCGTTAAAAAGATTTTTTCCAGAATTCTTTGATTAATAGATAGTTTAAGGTTTAACGGCATTTTTATCATTTGAAATGGAAATCTTCTATAACAACATGAGAGTCTTTTGACCATTTTGATTAAATTAATGCAACCTTGCTAAACAAAGGTTTGAATTTCTTTAAAAGAAAATCGACTGACCCTAAACTTTTTAACAGTGGTGAACAAACAACACAGTTCTGGGGTCACTGTAACAAATATTGCTGTGTTCAGACGTACTTTATTGTCTTGTAAGTGAGTTCATCTACTTCAACCCCAAACAGCTGTTTGGCAGCATGTTTGTAGATGTGATGAAGGTATCCTCCCGATCCACTTCCTGCGTGACCCAGCAGCTCCTCCCCACATACGTTACTGAACCTAAAACACATTCACACGTATGAGTCTATTTCATAAGTGATAGCTGGGTTTCACTGCCAAACAGAAGAACTTACATTGTGTCTAAAGGTGCCACTTCCACGTCCCTCAAGGACACATTCTCCTCTTCCAACATCTTCAGAACTTCACCTATGAATCAGACACATAGACAATGAGGTCTTATGGCTATAATCTTACCCGTTTTCCTTCAGTTCGTGATTTTAACCCTATTAGATTCACTCACCTGAAGTGATGACGCAGTCCACCTCTCTGGTCTCGTACTCGCTGAGGTAGAAGTCTGGTCTGGAAGCCTCGAGTTTCTTATCATAGCAGGGCATCACGGTCACATGGTAGATCTGCTGTGGTGAAACACCCTGTCAAAGCAAAAGATGGAGAATGAAAATCTCATACTAGAACTACCATTCTAATGCACTGATATATCCCATGATTCAAAATGCATTTTGACCTTGATTTGTCACGTAAATGTAGTAAGTGGGGGGGGGGGGGTTTAATTAAACAATAATTAAATAAATATAATTTTTTAAATATATAAAAAACAAGCATTTGCATTTCATTTGAAAAATATTTACATATATTTTAATAACAAATATCATTCAAATAATGTATCAATTAAACTTTTAAAAAAATTGACCTGAGAAATAGTCTGTTATGTTGTTAATATTAAATCAAACAATTAAAAAAAGAAATAAATTAGTGCTGTCAAACGATTAATCGCATCCAAAATAAGTTTTTGTTTACATAATATATGTGTGTGTACTGTGTGTATATATTATGTTTAGATAAATACACACACATACAGTACATATTTAGAAAATATTTACATGTATATACATTTATATTATATTTTCTATTATATATCAATATGTTTAATATATAAACATAACATTTTTCTTAAATATATATACATGCATGTGTGTGTGTGTTTATATATACATAATAAATATACACAGTACACACACATATATATTATGTAAACAAAAAATTTTATTTTGGATGCGATTAATCGTTTGACAGCACTAAGTGTAAATACATTTGCTCTTAATTTATTTCAATGTGCTTGATTATTGGCCATTTACTGGAATAATTATTTAATTAATAATAACTAATAAAACCTGACTTTAGGTCTTAATCGCAAAAGTGTTGTTTACATACTATATGTGTGTACTGTATATATTTATTATGTATAATATATAAACACACATGTATATATTTAAAAAGTATTTACATTTGTACTTGTATATAATTATAGAATAATTATTTAATTAATAATAACTAATAAAACCTGACTTTAGGTCTTAATCGCAAAAGTGTTGTTTACATACTATATTTGTGTACTGTATATATTTATGTATAATATATAAACACACACACGTATATATTTAAAAAATATTTGTATGTATTTACATTTGTACTTGTATATAATTATACAATATATACATGTATGTGTGTGTATTTATATATACATAATAAATATACACAGTACACACACATGTATTATGTAAATAAAAACTTTTATTTTGAATGCGATTAATCGCGATTAATCATTTCGCAGGCCTACCTGACTTACGGTTAAATTTCTGCATGAAATTTGCATGTCACTCAATTTAATTTATTAATATTTGATGTAAATAAAAAGTATGTTTAGTAGTTGATTAGCTTTGTGCAAGTCACAAAACAAAAAGCTTTGCATCTACAACACGTCAGAGACCAAATAAGGGTTTATAATAATAAGTTTAAATAACAAATTATTTAGCAATATATTTAAACAACTATAAAGCATAAAGCAATGTCTAA